TTTCTGGAGAACAGGCTGAACACTAGTCAGCAGGGATAAGCTATTGTGTTGTGCATTGCTTTCTCCTCTTAAAGATTTATTCCCCCTAATCCCTTCACTACTACTATTACTTTTATTAGTATTACAACTATAATTCATATTATTATACTTTCTTTTCTTTCAACTATGAACTGTTCCTATCTCAATCCATGGTGAGCAGGAAGTGAGCAAGAGATTGTATAGTACCCCCGCCCAGAACTACTGGCTGGGGCTGAACAGCAACAACCCAATACTCCTGAACTTTCCAAATCCAACATCTACCACCTAAGCATCTGTCAACCTGACCTTTTTAACCACTTCAAATATCAGTATTTAATGTTAAGACTTGGACAGATTTTAATTTCTTTTTCATGTGAAGGATGACAAAGTATTTAAATGATCCACCATGAGCCATGGTTAACCATTAACCAAGAGCCATGGTTAAGCTGGGATTCCAGGAAGACACAGTGACTTCTGTGCTCCACTGTCTTCTTAGTTTAAATTCTGCACCTGGGACAGGGCAACCCTGGATGTGTAGATAGACTGGGGAAGGAGAGGATGGAAAGCTGTGTCACAGAAAGGGACCTGGGGCTCCTGGTCAGTGGTGAGTTGAACACGAGCCAGCAGTGTCCTGGCAGCCAGGAGGGCCAACCCTGTCCTGGGGGCATCAGGCACAGCATCAACAGCCAGGACGGGAGGGGATTGTCCCGCTCTGCTCTGCACTGGGGCAACCTCACCTCGAGTGCTGGGGGCAGTTTTGGGTGCCACAATATTGTAAAGGTATTAACCTGTAAGACAGTGTCCACAGGAGGGCTATAAGGATGTTGAAGAGCCTGGAGGGGAAGCCATGTGAGGAGTGGCTGAGCTTATTTGGTCTGTTTAGCCAGGAGGAGACTGAGGGAGACCTCATTGTGGCCTTCAACATCCTCACAAGTGGAAGCAAAGGGGCAGACACTGATCTCTTCTCTGTGGTCACCAGCAAGAGGACCCAAGCGAAGAGCCTCAAGTTGCATTCGGAGAGGTTTAGGTTGGGTATCAGCAAAAGGTTTTTCCACCCAGAGGGTGGCTGGGCACTGGATCAGGCTCCCCAGGGAAGTGGTCATGCTACCAAGCCTGAAAGGGTTCCAGAAATATTTAAGACAATATTCTCAGGCACGCTGTGTGATTCTTGGGGATGTCCTCTGTAAGGCCAGGAGTTAGACTTTGATGTTCCCTGTGGGTCCTTTCTAATTCAGGATATTCTATGATCCTATGATTCACTACTAACAACACCAATTAGAATACTGTCATTTTGAGGAACTGCAATTCAGAGTTTATACCAGTCTACAAGAAGTCTAGAATACAGAAACTTTCCTTAAAAGCACCTTTCAGCAATCACTATATAGAGCAATTTTTTCCTTTGAGTCTTCTGAGTGGGAGATCCACAACTGTGAATACTCTAATTCTGAGGGACCAGCTTATAAACTGAATGTTCCCACATCTCTGTGGGCCCTGGTGGGATTCACCCCAGAGTACTGAATGGGCCAGCAGCTGTTACAGCAGGACCTCTCAATCACCTACTGAAGGCCTTAGAAGTCCGGGCAGGTCACTGCTGACTGGAAGCTTGCCAGCGTAATTCCCATTTACAAAGGCATGAGGCAAGAAACAGAACTGGAGAATTATTCGTGTAACCTCAGCTCCTACAAAAACTATGGAGATAATAAGTGCTACTGGAAGGTGAAAGAATCGTTAAAAAACGTCTCCCACAGTCAACACAGTTTCACAAAGGAAAGTCCTGTTTAACCAACCAATTCTGCTATCATAAGGTCATTTGCATTCTGGATGAAGGGAAGGCAGTGGATGCAGTTCCAGTTTGACTAAAGCAGCCAAAATTATCCCTCACAGCATCCTTTTCCAACAAGTTCCTCAGCTGTGGGATGAGCAGATTCACAGTGCTCTTGCTGGAGAGCAGCAAAGGGCTGTATTGAACAGGGCAACATCTGGCAACCAAGAGTTGGGTGCACCATTAGCAGCTTGGCTAATGATTCAAACTGAGAGATCCTGTGGATCCTCTTTAGGGAAAGAAGTATTGTTGAGGGATCTAGAGAGATTCGAGCATTGGGCAGTCATTAATGCAGTGAAATTTAAGAAGTTCAGATGCTGGATTCAGTACCTGGGATGGGTAATGCCAAGCACAGGGATGCAGTGGGAGAGGAGTGGCTGGACAGCTGCAGAGGGACGTGGGGCTCGCTGGTGCTGTGCTCAGGGTGGGTCAGCAGTGCCCAGGCAGACCCAAGGACAAACCCCATCCCAACAAACCCCATCCCAGGGCACTGAGCACGGCACAGCCGGCCCAGAGAGGGGATGGTCCTGCTGGGCTCAGCCTTGGGGCAGCCTCACCTGGAGCCTGCAGGTGGAGAAGAAAGGGAAGGTCCTTGAAGGTGTCCTGAGGAGGAAAACAAAGCTGGTGGGAGGGCCGGAAGGAACTTGTGGCTGAGGAATTTGGGCTTGTCTGGTTTGGGGAAAGGGAGGCTGAAGGGTGACCCCACTGCTCTCTGCAGCTTCCTGAATAGGGGAGGTGCCAAACTCTCCTCCCTGTAATCCAGGGACAGGACATGAGGGAACAGTTCACAGCTGCACAGGAGAACTTTCCTGGCCATTAGGAGGCATTTCTCTAAAGAAAGGGTGGTCAAGCACTGCAACAGCTTCTAGAGAAGTGGTCGATTTTGGACAGTGCCCTTAACAATGTGCTGGAACTTGGCCAGCCTGAGTGGGCAGGCAAGTGACTGGACAATGACTGTAGATCCCTTCCAACTGAAAGAGTCTGTTCTATTCCTTGAAATTAAAGAGTCTACTTAGACTCTCTTCTTTCTGATGCAAAGTTTAGGCTTTTTATTTTCTCTGCATGTTTCCAGATGAAGACTTGATATATTTTGAGATATTATAAGAAAGGTGTGTATGCCAAAAAGAATTGCACACATTTTTTAACTAAGTGCTGAAATCAGTACAATTCTGATTATTATCATTAGGGAGCACTGAGTCATCTAAAATTGCAGATTAATATTCTTCCAACATTTCAGAATTTTTCACAGCCATTTTGGCAAGAGAGAACCTTTAAAAATGTGACTGATATTGTGTTTATTATGAAAATTTCTGTTATTTCCTATAAAAACTGCAGTGTCAGAACTTCCAAATTGTGTATGTATAAAGAACTAAAGACTTCAACTGCAAGTGTAATCTTTTTCTCATAAAACACATTGTTATTTTACACAACTTTTTAAGAATCAATAGGTTAGTTCAGCATCCAGAAACACCTTTGATTTTTCAAGCTTTATGAGGCTCACCTATGCATTAAGAAGGTTGAAAAACATGTGTTTATTTATTGTCCTGGTTTCCAAGAACTCAATTTTTTTATTCCTTGAACTGTCACTTCAAATACTGGAAAAAAAACTGAAAGACTTGTTGTAAAATCAGATCTTACCATCTTCCCCTGCCACCACCATCTCCTTCTCAAATATACTGGAGTGGAAAACATTATTTGCAGCACTCTGTAAACACACCAGTAAGGACCTAACAAGGTCCTGTCTTCACTTCCGGATGTGGTAAACACACAAATCATTTATAGGATGTAGAGTCTTTAACAGACAGCAAATTAAACAGTATCTTAAACTTATGATAGCAAACGAAAAAGGTTCTTTTGATTGGTTTTCCATTTTCTCAAAAACACACTTAGGATCAGCTATTAAACTTGATTGGTTTTCCAATTAGACATCTTCAAAGGAATTGTTCAGGATCTTTAGTCTAAAGATCACCTCAGCACTGCAATAAAAGATGATTTACAAAATTCTTATGCACTTCAAAACTGCAGACATACAGATCTTAGCTTATTACTCACTTAACCATTATACTTAAAAGGAAGTTCTATATATATGTCCCATACAGTCACTATAACTGTCATGTAAAATGTAAACACATACACGCACTGTGAGCACCCAAAGGAATTGGAAGATTAGCTAAATTTAATCCTCTATTAAACACCAGAGTAAATTAAATTCAGTGTACTTCACATTCATTTCCATGAAAAAAATCAATGGAAAAAACCAAGTTATCCCAACACCTCCACAAAAGTGCACATTCCTAAAATTGTATTAGGTATGCAATTATTATTAGGTATAGCACACTTCTGCATTAACTTGTTAATAATCTCTGATGCATTTGTTTTATTCTTTTGGGTTTTATTTTATTCACCACAACTTAGGCATTGAGGAAGGTCTTTATTGCAGATTTATGGAATGAGCAACATAAGATTCAAATGTAGACTTTAAGGTGTCACTCCAATACAAGCCAAAATTGCGAAGATGTTCCTGGCTGTATTTAGCAAGTTAAGTAATATGATGTCAGAAATTACACCTGTCCATGAAAGTACCTCCTCTACTTTCTTAGACACATTAATCATAACATTACTTCAATTGGATTAAGTCCCCTGCTATTTTCCATTGCTCCATCTTTCACTGATCCATCCAGTCTCCCTTAGGCTGGTTTTCAACCCATGTCAGAAGGGATTCTGGGCTCCCACAGTGACAACAAAGCTTTGGGGAGCAAGGCCAGTGTTCCCTGAAGCTGAGGCAGGAGATGGGCCTGGAGGCGGCACACGGTGACTCGCCGGCGCTGCTGACTGACTGCAAGTGGCCATTTTAATCTAAGGGCCTGGGGACCCGATGCTGCTGCTGATCATCCTCCTCCTCCTCCTCGGCGGTGGCCAGCCCCACCTCCCACCCCCAGGCATACAGGGAGATGAGAACACACAGCCGCGGGTCCGAGCAAAACCCACGGCACGGGGCAAGGGGCGGGAGTTGCCCAGGGTCCCGGCCGGGCAGCGGGGCCCTGGGGGGGGTCCCGGGGAGTCGCGGCGGTGCTCACCTGTACTGGGCAGCAGCCCCGCTGTGGGTGAATCCAAAGTAGTTGCCGGTGGCCATTTTGGCATCTTCCCCCAGCCGGCTGGGCACTGCGGCGGCGGCGACCGAGGGGCGGCGGCGGCGGGGGCCATGACAGGAGGCCCGGCGAGAGGAGGCGGTGGGGAAAGAACGAGACACACAGAGGGACAAGGGAGAGAGACAGCGCGGGAGCGCCGGGTCAGAGTCGGCGCCTCAGGACCGACCCCCGCTCGCCGCCCTCTCCCCAAGCACGGACACGCCGAGCACCGCTTACCATAGGTGAACGAAACTACCGGGCATATGGGAATCATGAGTCCGGCCTGGCAGCGACGACGGCGGCGGGTGAACTCTCAACTCTCCCCCCCCTCCCGCCTCCTCCTCCCGCTCGCTCCCTTCCCCCACCCACCCACCGACGGCGACAACGGCGGAGTGCGGCCGGGCCGGCTCCGGTTGCGCAGGCGCGGGATGTGCGCGGGGGCCGTTGGGAGATGTAGTCCGACCGCAGCCGGGTTCTCGTTCAAGGAACAGGGAGCCGCCTGCGCCGCTGGGGCCGCGTGCGCAGGCGCGGGATGTGCGCAGGAGCCGCTGGGAGCTGTAGTCCCGCTGGCCGGCCATGGGGAGCCGCGCTCGGGGCGCCCATAGGGCTCATTCACGCACAGATATAAATATGTGTATACGGTGTGCAGAACCCGCCGTAGCTCCTTTGTGCTTACTGCACATGCAGCGCTGCGACAGCCTCAGCCACGCCGGGCCCATTCTTGTGACTTTTCCAGAAGCCAGCAGTCCGTGATATCACTCCTGAAACGCTCTGGGCAGCACATGGTGGCCAGTGCAGTGACCTCCCGATCAAAGGCACCGAAAGAGCGTCCGTTCCCCATGGCTCTGCCGCTCCTTCCGGCAAATCCTTCCCTCTGAGCGTCAGATGTTCCCCAAAACTCTGAACAAAGCAAAACTTTTATGCTTAAATACTTTCATCCCATTTATGTATTTTGCTTGTGCTACAGTGTGCATAATTCATAAACTGATCAAGGCTTATAAAACGATTAATAAACACAAGATACAGTAAAAAGTAAATTTCTGATAGAATTTTATTTTCTGTAATCTAAGCCTTGTTTTTTGTAATCAAAATACACCTGTTTGGGATGTCCTCCTGCAGTCCTAACAAAAGCAAGGATTCCCACACCCCACAATAGCTGTGGTCATCAGCAGTAAGACTGCAAGGATATTATTCTTCATAAAAGAGGAAAGTACTTTCTCATCTCATAGCTAACATTATTGCGGCTGCAGATGAATTACAGCTATTTCCAATGCCAAACATCCTTCCCAATTAACTGAACATAATTTGTTGGTCATTACTATTAATTTTGCATAGGACCTGAATATTACTGTACCTCCTGTTTGTTCTTGTCCTAATCAAGCACAACAGTAAAAGAAATCTTCTTGGTTCTATCCAAAGTGCTTTTCTGGGAAGAAAGTGGCTACTGGGTGAATATTTAGTTGCTGTAAATTAGGAAAGAAAAGCCTTAATCCACAGTTCCATGGGACAGTATTCAAGGAGAAGACTCTACAGAAACCTTCTGTAGAAGAACTTAGAGGATGACCTCTGTCATGAAAATCTCAATTGACTCAGGATATACAAATTATAAATAGATTTATGATTTACATAAATGTCTATATCTATCCTTACTTCTGTTAAATATTGTTCATAATTAGACCACTGTATCATGCAACTTGGACAAGAAGACAAACTTTTTTTGTTCCGTTGTCTTTCAAGATTTTTCAGTTATAAGCCTTCAAGTATCCTGATAAATAGACAATATTCAATACATGTTTCATTAAAAATATAAGCATCTATACACACACAGATATTCACATACCTTTTATCACTGCAATTCTAAAGCTATTTTTTGCAAAGTAGGTAGGCCTGCCATTGCTATTCATTTACGAGATAAACTTTATGAAAGTCATAGAATGACAGAATCAGATTCGCTTGGGTTGGAAGAGACTTTAAGGATCATCTGATTCCAACTCCCCTTCCATAGACAGGAACACTTTTCACTAGTCCTGGTTGCTCAGAGCCCCATCTAACCTGTCCCAAACTTCGTCACGGATGAGGCACCCACAACTTTTCTGGGCAACCTTTGCCAATGCAACATCGCCCTCACAGTAAAGAAGTTCTTTCTCATATCTAAGCTAAACCCACTCAGTTTGAAGCCATTCCCCTTGTCCTGTCACTCCAGGCTCTTCTAAACAGCCTCTCTCCATTGTTCCTGTAGCCTCCCTTCTGGAAGGCCCCAATTAGGTCACCTCAATGCCTTCCCTTCTCCATGCTGAACAAACCAAATTCAGTCACCCTTTCCTCACAGGGGTGGTGCTCCAATTCCTCTGGATCAACTCAGTGATGCTCCTGTGGACTCTCTCCATGGATGTATATCAACAGTATTAATATATACTACTATTGATATGTATTGTATGATAATGTTCCAAATGAACTTGGAATATTTACCCTCTTTCCAACTTTGTCTCCATGAAAAACAAACAAACAAACAGAAAAAAAACCAACAAAAAACACAAGGCTTTCTTACTCACAGCCGAGATTTTTGACTTAGGTTTCATAACTTTTCTTCATCCAAGTAGTTTCTAGTAGTTAAAATTCAAATACTACACCCTTTATGTTATGATTTCAGCCCTGCATATATCTGAGCATAAGCTCCCATCTGGCAGCCCAATTCATCTGCAATTTCAGGAGAAGTTTCAGGTTACTTTCCTGTGTGAATTTTGCATTTTGAGTGCATATATAACTTTGAAAAGACTATAGCATAGTTCATGAGAAATCATTTTTAAATGGGACAAAAAAAAAAAAAAAAAAAAAAAAATTAAAATTCAAGGTTTACTTTCTCCTTGGGAAAAATGCCTGAAAACACTAGTATTATACAGGTCTTTCCTCCAGCAGTTTCCTATTAAGAACCTGATGCTTCCTGGTGACTTTGTGAACCATTACATAACATCTATTTATGCTACTACTATCTTGCAGGATCAGATTCATGGTCTATACTTAAAAAACCTCAGTGTGTTATAAAACAAGATTCTATCTCCTTAAGACATCAGATTGCTTCAAAATGAAACCAATACTAAATTCAGATTAGATTCTTAAGGGCATTTTGACCTTTACTGATTTCTATATCTTTAACTGGAAGGAAAATATATGGAATGATAAAATGCAAGTTGTGGCACAGGGAGAAAGAAAAAAAGCTTTAGTCAAACATGGAAAAGGTATTTTTTTTAATAGGAAAAAGAAACTTCTCTATCCCCTATTACAGAAGAACAGACAGGAAGTTCCAGAATGAAAACATATGCTGGAACACAAATCTTTAATTTGGAATGATATACAACAGATACTGTATCTGTGCAAAGTTCAAAGTGTCTAAAAATATCACAGACAAAAATGGCAAGCAAGCTAGCATGCAGGAAAACACATTTTTGACCTTCATTTCAACTGTATGAGAAGAGCTCTCCAAAATATGGTGAGAAGAAGAAAGCAATACAATAACAAGAAAGTGTCATCAATACTACTATTTTACTTTAATATCCCAAGATACATGTGATAATGTCTCTGCTGCTGCCATAGGACTGCAAAACTGCAACTGAAACACAATGGGGAAAACAAATTTTTTTTAAATCTCAAGATTTGCTAAGTAAGATTAGGTAAGATTTCTTGGAGGCAGCCTTCCAGTTTACATAAAAGCAGGCTCTCAGCCAGCCTTTGCGTGCCCACCAGAGGGCGGGGCCACGCAGCAGAAGGTGAAAGCTTTTCAACACAGCATAGACCATGTTAACAAAAGCTGCTCTTATTTCCTGAAAAGGTAATTTAATACTTAGTGCTCTCTGTAAATGCTCTAGATAGAAAGAGATTTACAATCAGCATATGGAGACCAGTGCTATCTTCTCACCTGGAAATTATTTCAGATAGCTAGAAAGACAAGAAATTCACCAGCTTATCAACCTTCTTATTGTAGAGTGAAATTACATTTTTTTAAAGCAGTAAAGACTCCACATTTTTGAATTATTAAAGCAAAATAGTGTTACTTTTAATAACGGGTTTAGACGTTGTACAGTGACCATAACAACAGACCTATTAAACCACTGATGGAAGTTATTACTATTTAGGTTACTAAATTGCAACATTAAAAAATCCCCACTTCCCAAGCATAATAGAAAGTTATGCAAGTATTGATGCGAACTCAAATTACATGATACACATGAGACACAAACCAGTTCCAGTTCCACAAACAAAACCACTGTGTGGTAGCATCCCTTACTCTTTCTTTCCTGACACTTTAATAAAACTACTGCCAATATTATAAGCTAACGTCCCCTTTCATGGCAGATTTCTTCTTCCACCTTTTAAACTAGTAAGCACAAACACCAAAGCTTTAAAAGCTGTCCCACTAAAGGTTTGCCCCAAAATGCTTTTCTTGCTAGCGCTACTACTTCTAACTAGAGGAGTCATCTTTGCAGTTAGTAATTACTGTGTGATCAGAAGCCCTAGCGTGTATTTTTCAGCATTCCCATTCAAATCTGCATGCTAAAATCTGTTACTGAAGAACAAACTAATGCTTCAATGTTCTTCTCTGCCGAGGACATGTGGGATATGAAATGAGGCAATCAGGCAGTAACTAGAAGAATGTAAGCCCTTTTAAGGCAGCTACAGAAGGAAAGCATCTGATGAAGGAACAAACCCATCACAAAAGTCTATTTTAAGCTTAGAAAGTGAACTATACCCCTCGGGGGGATAGATGACTCACTCAGAAGGTAACAGCAGAGATTTACCTTGGAAATATTATGGCTCCTTTCCCACAGTTCTACAGCCAGCATTCTTAGTAGCTTTTTTCTTCTCTTCTAAATAGAGTAAAATATAGTGAAGGTAATTCACCAAAAGCTCAAACCACCGTTACACTCAATGACCAGAATATTTCTCAAAGAAATGTATCATTCCTTACAAGCAGAACATGAAATCCCTGTTGCTGCAAAACTTCCCCTCATTGACCTGCTATTTAGGAATTCAGCTATAAAAGCAAACGTGGTCCTTACGTTGGAGGAAATACTGCAGGTGGGAGAAATTAACTCATTAAGAGCCAGCAGAAAATGTTTCTTTTAGTACGTTCAATTTATGTCAGTTGAAAGAATCGATTAAAAATGCATAAAGAATTGTTGATTTTAATAAACAATTCCTCAATGATTTGATTAAAACCTGAACATTCTTTGTGTACCATGTCTTGACCTGTAAGAAAGCAAAGCAGCATAAAGTTCAGGGATTACAAACACCCGAACTCTTATTATACTTCTAACATGAAAAGTTAGTGTCAATTAGTTGAAAAAAGTAAATTTTTTTTTTACAATTTAATAGTCCTTATTTTGAGGTGGTCTTGTTGTTGGAATTAAACATTAAGTGTTACGCTCTATCTGTTCATCTTCTAAAATTACATGGCTTGACAAGCCAGGTGTTGGTGCAGTGATAATTGCTATATCCCCTGCATATCATTTACTGTGCTTTGACCTGTTTGTATAAACAACTGTATTTTTATCTTTCAAAGGTCAGAGATGTAGTAAGAATTGTATCTTTTTCTAATTTTCTTCTCATTTTGTTAGCTACATGACATTGTGAAACTGCAAGCTATCAAGGATTATTTAGATTTGTAGACTTCCTATTTCCTGCTATTAATGTGAAGAAGTGAAAGCTACTTTTCACAGCAAAAGGCAGTTTACTTTATTATGAGGGCTCTAAGGACCTCATGAATCCCCTCAGAAAACCTCATTGTCCACCTCCTTTAATTAGTTTTTTAGAAACACTGCTTAGAACTTGCAGCTGCTTATTTTGATTTTGGAGGATTATTCCCTCTAGAAACATTACATTTGTCTTTCTGGTCCATATTAATAAACAGAGATCTTTGCAATTGAAAAAGCCAAAGACTTTGCTCTTCAACACTTTATTAATAATTATGAAGGCTGATCAACCACTACCTCACTCAGCCTGTATCTAGGCCTGGGATTATAGTCCACTTCCTATTT